GGTTTTTTTCCTACTTAAGCTGATAGCCTTGAGAGGCTATTTCAGCGTAACCTTAACTAGTAGGTGAGCTTGCCGGCTAAAACCGGAGTGATGCTAACACTGGCCCTAGCAGAATCTACTACCGGATCGGAAACGCGACCTACTGAGAAGATCCGGCGAGAAACTCAGTGGGCGATGACCTGTCAGTTACGAGGTGTGCATCTTATTATTTTACTGTAAGTCTTCCTCGTAAGTAAGATGTATCCTCCTCCTCGATTGTAAGAAGATCTTCCTCATCAAAACTTAAAATCTAAGCAAGGAACCGTCTGCTACATGGTTAACATAAAGTTTAATATAAAATTAGTTGAGACTGGGTGTTTATCCTAGTTGCATATGATATAAAGTGAAGCAAATTCCGAAGCCCATAAAAACCACAACATGAACACGCTGTCACCTATTTAGATCAAAACACACCATTCTCATACACACCAGCCGATTTCTCTATTAAGTCATAGATTTGATACTCATTTTCTCTCATAACTTAATGCGAGAAGACAATTATTTAACTGGTTTTTACTTTATGAGGCGTAATGTCAAAACGATATTGCCTAGATCATTCGAAGCACCAATCATAGCTGGACTTTGGTACGGAATGGCACAATTAATCGACTATTCGCGTCAATGACGTAGGTGTATTGAAAGTTACGACTAAAACTAAATGGGGGTGATTTGAAACAAAGTAAAAACAATTGGTTGCCAATGGATCTGTTAGTTGGAGAAATTTTATATGCCAGTGGATTTATATGAAAAAAACATACCTAGGTGTGCTTGCTTAATTTATTTTACTATCACATTAACGAAAGAAACACATATGATCAATTTTGTGCATTTTTATGGAATACGTGAGAATATTTCAAAGGGTCAGTGCTCTTTGAATAGCAGTATTAACCTCCTTGTCTCCGATGATGACACCATCTCGTGGACTGTCCTGTATAGATACACACACACACACACACAGTAAAAATAGATTAGCAATTTTGGCAAACTTTACTCAATGGGTATATTACTACTGGTAATATCGTCAACTCGTTGGCTGCACAAAGTCCCATCCCGTCAACTCGCATATCATTAACATCATTAAGGCGCTATGATTTCGTCCCAAGATTCGCCATAACGCGGTCAGATCGACGCGCTAACAATATTCAATGAATGTAATCAGCTCAACTCATATCGACTGACGCAATGAAACAAGTGTCCAATTTGAATCTCGACTCGCTTTAAGTGGCAAGAGTTTTCTTAGATTAGAATATATCGGCCTTAGATGATATTATTCTGGGTTTTTTTTTATAAGGTTTTTACTCGATTTAGCGTATTTTGTTCTTATTAGTGGCGTAATTGAAAAAAACTGAAAATGTTACGTATGTCCAACACGCAATAATGCCTCATTGCTAAAATATTGGCAAATGTATTATTAATTGAGCTTTAGAACTTTTTATTTATTTATTACTTAGATGGTTGGACGAGCTCACAGCCCACCTGGTGTTAAGTGGTTACTGGAGCACATAGTCATCTACAACGTAAATGCGCCACACACCTTGAGATATAAGTTCTAAGGTCTCAGTATAGTTACAACGCCTGCCCCACCCTTCAAACCGAAACGCATTACTGCTTCACGGCAGAAATAGGCAGGGTGGTTGTACCTGCCCGTGCGGACTCACAAGAGGTCCTACCACCAGTAAGAACACCGAGGTTTGCGAAAAGTTATTAAAACTGGCCAAACAAATCTTCGAATTCAAAGTTTTTGAGATTGCTAATGATCTCATGAGTTCGTTTCGATAATTTTTAGCTAATTCTATCCAGGTATAATTTTTATAGAATATAATATGTAGTAATTTTATATTATGTATCGATCTAACGTGTAAATTTTCATAAAGAAACAGAAATAGAAAGAAAATGTACATAATCGAAGGTGAAAGCAAAAATGCAAAAGATGAAACTTAAGTAAATGGTTTTCCTAAAATAAAATACTGTGTAACTATTTTAGGAATGAAGGCGACTAAAATAAAAATAGTTTCGCAAATTATATAAGCAAAATCGTTTTTATTGATACACGTGTAAATAAAATAAATAATATACAAAGACACCCACAAAAATTTACGTAAAAATTGTCACCTTAGATCGTGACTTCTCATACCTGATTTGTGGAATGTAAAAATAGATGTAAATGTTTATTTAAGTTCTTGAATGCGTGTCGTCTTTATAAGTGTTAATAGAACGAGAATTTTCCTAATATGTAATCCTATTTCGAAAATAAATACGTGACGTAAAAAATTAACGAATTTAACTGGAAAGATTTCAGTCTATTTTTAGTCCGTACTTGAAACAGGTTTTAGTATTATTCTAGTTCTTATCTGAAGTTTGGGTACTATGAAAAACATAAAATTAATTGATTAAATAAATCATTATTTCAACTTGATGTAAATTAAAGTACCCACAAAATGGACAAAATAATCTTAACCACAACCGGCGCAGTTTCCGTTTATAAATTTAATAAAGTAAATAAATAATTTATTATGTTTCATATTAAATAATATGTGTCCTCGGAATTTCTGCACATAATCAATTGCCTGAAACAAACATAACATTTAAGCTAGAATTCACTTGGTACAACGAATGTCCTGCCCTTGCACGCCCTTGAAACCGCTTAACAAACGAAGAATACATGGCGGTATATACGCAAACTTATTAATAATCTCCCTAAAATCAGTAGGTAAATACAAAACAATAATATTTTATAAATTTTATTTTATTTATAAATATTTGTTTTCACTATACGATATCACTAATCGAATCTAGAAGTCATTCATCGAACTTGTTGATTTATTTATTTATTTATGTACACAAAAAAAGAAGACATAGTACAGAGTAATAGGAAAATTATGTACAAAGGCACTGCTTATTTCTTTATGAAATCTCTTCCAGCAGACCTGCGAGAGGATTATGAGAATAATAATTAAAAGTGATGAGTGTCTTAAATACGTTTGTTTTAGTGACGAAAATTGTAATCTAAATATCTAATCACAGCGAATCCATTTTAAAAAGAAGTAGGTACGCCAATATTATCAAGCTTTCTTTCGCCCACACGTAAAACAACTTCCACGTCATATTGCGGACCATAAATTGTAACTCGATTAAAATAACACAATCCTTCTTGCTTACTAAACAGCATTAATGAAAGCAGTAATAAAAAAAATTGAACAAAAAAAAAACAGCTATCATTAAAATTCATAAGAGCTTCGTAAAGAGAAAAAGAAGCCTACCTAATTCGTTCGTCCATTATTATATTTTTATATGGTACAATAAAAATTCATAAATGAAAAGAATACAGTTACATAATACAATATGCTTCAACGGTTCATTTAGTTTCACATTGGGTTCACGTCTGAACCGGCCGGCTTGCATACACAACATATTACATGCAAGTGTACCAAAGTAAATTGTGGAATTATTCATTAACACTGCGCCTTAATCGTAGCGTTTCGTCTGGAGTCTAGACGCAGTACCATAAACTGACGGTGATTAACCGATTACGGTATTGGAAAATGATTATTAAGTATCGGAGAATAACTACGAATTTTTTGGTACTTTAGAACCGTTTTATTTGTAAATTTCGCTAAACATTCCAAATAAAATTGATTGGCCCCAAACTAGAGCTCAAATGGTCCATTATTGGTCAAAACTAAATGATGCTTGGGCGTGTTAACTGCTCCAACTTCATTAAGGCGACCCGATAAGTCGTCACTTCCAATGACCGCAAGTTAATTAGGCCAGTATGTTATAAAATCTAGTTTCATTGCCAATAACACAGCCAGTAAAACGATTTGTAACGGCATTTCAAAATTCTAGTTTATTTATTGCTTAGATAGGTGGACGAGCTCACAGCCCACCTGGTGTTAAGTGGTTACTGGAGCCCATAGACATCTACAACGTAAATGCGCCACCCACCTTGAGATATAGGTTCTAAGGTCTCAGTACAGTTACAACGGCTGCCCCACCCTTCAAATCGAAACGCATTATTGCTTCACGGCAAAAGTGTGGCCCTTTCGCCAAATTGAACGGCGTGGTTGAAATCCAATTGAAACTTGTAGTTTTTATCAAGCTTTTTAAAATATCTTAAAAACTAAACAGTAAAAGTCGCTAATTTTTATCTAACATGCAAATTACCGCATTCTGTAAATTTTATAATAAAAATCTCAAGTTGATAACAATAACTGATTCCCTGAGTTTGGTATGGCCCGAACGGTATAGTAAGCTAGGCCCAACAGTGAAACGTGTTAATAAGTAGGAAGCCTGCCGTGCTCTTCAAATGGTAATACTATTGTTACTAGTGGTGGGGCAGACTATAATCCATTATCCTGCTTTTTATTCTTACTTCGGAGCACTTACGTATTCCAGTTTGAAGGGTTAACCCTTAACTAACTATAAAGTATAATTGAGACTTCGATTTCATTACTCAAGGTGAATGACCGCTTTGCATCGTAACCTCTGTGGTCTCTGTTAACCACTTAACAACAAGCAGGCCGTGAGTTATTTCGTACGTCCTTACGGATCCATCAGATCCAATAACCCTTTCATTAGACGCCTTTACACTTAACACTAGGAGTAGGGACCCCGGTAACCGTACCCGTCGAACTCGGCAAAGAGTTCGACGTGCAACCTAACCTAAACATCAACCCGCTGAGTTCCTCGCCGGATCTTCTCAGCGGATCGCGATTCCGATCCGGTAGTAGATTCATTTGCGAAGCAGCTACTCTTGAGTTGTTACGTAGGTCTTAGTAAATCCCACCCTTCCTAGCTGAGCTCTTACTTGCCCACCTGTCTTGGTAAAACTCGAAAGGCCTTCGGACCACCAGTAATCTCTCAAACATAAAAAAAGTTATTTCGTTCATCTTATCCAGTGAAAAATGTCTTTCTCCAGCCACTGACAAATACATTAAACTAATTAAAAATATTATTCGCAGTCGTTATCAGCCGATCTTCGTCGAAGCAAAACCCCGCCTCGAAGATCACCGGACGATCGCATAGTGCCACGACCACCTTCGGCACCGGTACATCATGATCGTAATCCTCACACACCACATCTATCACCTAAGAAAGAAGCATTCAATAACTTGCTGAATAAGGGTATTTCTGGTAAGTTTTATGTTTATTAATTTGGAAACGTGTTTATTAGCCGTTATGCCAAAAGTCTACAAATCACAAAAATGGTAAAAGCTAAGTAAGCTGTAATCTAAAATTACTACTGTGACTATGTAAAATATTTTGCGTCGATTGGAATCTGATGCCCTGTGCCTTTTTATAATTTGAGTGTTTTTGTACAATTTGTATTGTGACTTGAAAAAATGACGTCATTGTACAAAACAGTGTACTATTCTCTATTCAGTATGAAGTTAATACAATTACAATTCAATTATTTCCGAACAAATTTCCGATTGAATATTTAAATATTAAACGTGTGACGTCTTAATAAATAAAACAAGAGGTAAGTTTGCTACCTAATTATTTAAAACATTTTTTTTCTTACGTAAACGAATAAAAAATAAATGATAAGTTATAAAACTTCTAAGCAACAACCTTTTATTTAAGTAATACTTTATGAATTGCTCTCCTATACACGACGAACTCGTCATTGTTTGTCGATATTATTCATAGTCACGGGCGTCTTTGTCTGGACAAAGCTGATCTTATATTAATCTATGCTTTAGCTGTATCCTCAATAAGCCGAGCCAGCACTTACAGGCGTGAATACGACTGATTAATTTAAAATGTTTTAGTGTACTAATAAAACTGTCCACGGCCATAAGTAATTTATAGACTTAAAATAGGCTGAATTAAAAAGCTGTTAATTTTATTTAATATCAGTCGTTAACTGTTGAATTTTTTTAAAAGAAATCTAGCAATTCGATTTGATAGTCTCTTAAGTTTCTTTTGTAATGTGATTGTGCAAAAATAGTTATTCGTTGTAGCTCTTTGCCATTCTATTCTCAAGACTAGAGTAGAGATACGCCAAAATATAATTTAAATTGAAAATTAATAAAAAGCAGATATTATAATCTGTACAGTGGACGATCTTTTCGTTAGTATCTCATCCAGATCTCTCGTATATAATAATACGACAAATTTAAAAAGGTATTATTCTAGAAAAACGATTCATCAGTACTATAACGACTAACGCACACGGGTGGGTCCCCTTAATCCGCACTCCTAATTTCACGACCAGTTTCCCGTCATAGCATGAGATTCAAACTGACGCCATCCATCGGCTTCGCATAACGACAGTAATACCCCCGGTTTATCCCCAACCATCCGGCTATCACGCCGTAGGTGGGTAGAGGCGATAAAAAAATACAGGCACTTGAATGCTTTTGATATCATTAATATTAAAGATAATGATTTATTTAGTATTATAATAGCCAATTCATTCATTTTGCGTTCACCCCGCGTTAATGATTTTTAACTTAAATAAGCGTCGATATTCAAAACAAACAAAAAAAGCGAAAAACGAATTATTTTGGCGGTCTTTGAAATCGACAATGTCAGACGGTGTGATGCAATGACTCCCTTACCTAATAATTTTCCATTCATTCCACTCTCTTTATGAATCATAATCTCTAAATCTCTTGCGTCCGTCTATCCTTGTCTGTACAAAGCCAATCCCTCTTCTGTCCTGCTCTGGTTTCTTTTACCCCTTAAATCTAATCCGATACATCCCGTCTGGCGTAAGGAGCGTTCACAGACGAGCACGCAGCACTTATGAAATATATTTGAAATTTTATTACTATTTTTACTTTTGTTTTTATCTTATCCTGAGAAAATTTCGTGGGATTTCCCAATTAGAACTTCTGATGTAAAGTTTTAGTTTAATATTGCGTTCTTTTCGTCGAATCATTTCCATTTTCGGATCGAATTTAATAATGTAATACATGCATGAATGATAATGGAATGACTTTTGTAAACATTCCATTGAAATTAAACAAAATAGGCTTCACACATAAAAAGTTGTCGGAAAATAAACACGCTTAAATCGAAATCCCTTTTCTCTCGGAAGTCTTAAAACATTTCATTGCGCTCAGAAATACATAAAACGATAATCATTCAACCAATATTGAAAGATCTTTTGTAACTTCACTAAGACTCGGTCTACAGATTTCCCCGGTCCCGCCAAAGGCGAGTTTAATTCCTAATGCCTTTAATCGGGCGTTATAAATTATTATTAATTTCGGATCGCGCGTCGATCGGCGGCGATTAGCGATTGCACAATGCCCAACGGATTACAATCCGAGCCGGAGAATATATCTTTTTGTCAATACGTACCTGGGTAAGGTCGGAAGAAAAATTTACGATTATTTAAAAATACTACATGTACATTTGGAATTAATAGGATTGTCATTTTAGGTGTGCTTAGTAATGACAAAAATAGGTCTTCGTAATCTATATCTGTAGCTAATATTAGCATAGTAATGAGTCGATTACCTTCAATAATAGGCCCATTAGGTACATAATAATAGTATTATAATTAATGGAATTTATGTGTAAAATATGTTAAGGAAAAGTGTATTTTTAATTCATTCGTGTTTATAATAAATGTTAATCATAAGTTTCATAATAAATAGAAATGTATTCGTAAAAGTTAGTTAAATTTAAGATTTTAAAATGTTGTTCTTGCTGTCTATACTTTGGACGAATAAGCGGGTTTTACATAGATAAGCCGATTTATATTTTTTATTATAGCCGTATTATTTCTTTTATTCTGTATGTAAGACATAACGTGCATTAAGTATAGTTTTATTGCTAATATCAACGGTATTTTTTTTAAAGTTTGAATATAAATTAGCTTTAATACACAAGTTCATGTTACCATTCAGACTATAAACACTTAAAAAACAATATTTGGACAAAGATAAATTCTTTGTCATAATCCATTATCAGATTTAGCAGCACATTTTTCACTTTGATTAATAGAAGTTTGTTGTCGTATACTACTTCTGCATTTCGGAGATTTTGCATTTTCATTGCGTTGTTTTATTTAGCTTAAACAGAAATTCAAGGCTAGTGTTAAAAAGCTACATCATGTAAACAGGACTTCATTATCAAAATATGCAGCTTTACGCTACCCTACAAATGTTACTACATTTAAAATTTGGGATGACAGTAATGTAATAAGGTCAGTACTATTATATTTAGATATTTTTTAGGGTAGATTCGGATATATCGCAGTCTCAATCAATCAACACACGATATTGTAATTTTGTAATAAATAAAATAAGTAATTGGCGATAAATCCAAACTAAGCTAGGATTTTCTTCTGTGTTATAGGTGCTGAAAACTGGAAATAAGAAAGATACGTCTGCATATATTTATATCTTTCACAAAGTCCCTATCTCCAGTCGGTAATCGAACACGGATCTTGTTGTACACTAGTCAGTCACTAACTGTTCGACTCATTTTTATATTTTAGGTATGTTAGTCAAAATGTAAATATCTAGACAAAGATGTCTTGCTTAGAGTCCAAGCTTAGCGCAGATAATGCTTGATATAGAAACCACACAGCATAAATGTGAAATATCTTTGTAAATTTTTAAACAAGCAAACTATTTAAAGTCCACGATAAACACTGCTTACTACCTTACAAAATAAACTAACACTCATTTAATTTGGATAACTTGAATTAAACGAATGGCACGTCCGACGTATAGATAGTTATGGTAAGGGTCGTTACACACACTAGGGTAGTGTAGCTTTATCTACGTGCTACACGAAGCTGATCCGCTCCGGATCATCCGGATGAGTTCGCAATCCCCCGTCTTTGTGTGCGTACGTGTTGATATTGATTTGACGGTGATGGGCTTTTATTTCATACTCTCATGGTTGCGTAGATTTATGTGCATCGACATATATCCATATTTGGACAAACTATGATTAATATTTAAAAACCCCTGACCTGAAGTCGTAAGGTTTTTTTTATTTATTGCCATTTATTTTTGTTATGCTTTTTAAGAACAGTTCATACTTTTCTATTCTTGAAGTTTTACTAATGTACCGTTGTTAAACTTCTAAAAATAATAAAATTTCATTACAGGATAAATTGCATTCAGATAAAAGCATTCAAAGTAGTGAGTTTTGCTGAAGCAAAGTAATTAAGTGACCGCTTCCAAATGAAAGTGGCACTTTCAGAATTGTTACCTCAAGCAGTTCAATAAACTTTGATTATTTACTTGAAACTTTGATACGTTATACTCAAAAATACGTATGCCTGTCTTCTTCGCAAGAAACGAATTTTTTTACGTTTTGAGCTCGTTTTTAACCTTGCAGATCCCTAAAAAACAGACCTACTGAACCGAACTGAAGCAACAAGTATGAATAAGACGTCCATCATTTATTATATTTATTTAAAATTTCACAGATAATATTAACGCACCATAAAAGTTGCCACATTTAATAATATTGTCGCTATAAAATTTATATCTTAAATTGCTAATTCTCTCCAGTCGAGATTGGTACGACCAAATCCGGCGGTCGTTTAATCCTGCTTAGGATTGAGTCGCGCACGTGTGTGTGTACAGCTTATACACGTATTTTATAGCCTGTGTGATTGTAATCAATCCGTTGAATGACTGTAACCAGTGAACACTGCCGTACTTAAATCAAGTTAGTACGTTTAGTACTATGTAAGTTTAGTACTACATAAGCTTAGTACTACGATAAGGAATGTTGCTAACCATTCCGGGTGGGTACCACCATACTTTCTACTCTTGCAGCGTGTGATCGAATTTTAAGGGTAAAGCAAGTGTATCTATGCATTAGAGACATTATTCTTATATTGCAACGTCAGCGATATCCATCGGCCCATAGACACAGCCCACTGAGTTTCTCGCCGGATCTTCTCAGTGGGTCGCGTTTCCGATCCGGTGGTAGATTCTGCGAAGTACTGCTCTTTGCGAGGGTCAGTGTTAGCAACTCTCCGGTTGAGCCCCGCGAGCTCACCTACAAACGTTAGGGCGAAGCTGAAATAGCCACTCAAGGCTATCAGCATAGGTAGGAAGAAAAAAAAAGATATCCATCTGTTATGTCTTATTTACTGCCTTCATTAGGTTAACATACAAAAATGCCATAATAAAATATCTCGAGAGTAC